GCGAAAAACACGTATGAATCTTACCACCATCGGGACACGAACCTGGAACCTCCAGGTCAGAGGCACTGCACTGACATCAGTGATGTACTGAGCCACATCTACCGGTTCTTAAACGGCAAAGTCTCAAGCCCTGGCGGTATAAAGGTTAACAAAACAATTAAACATTTCACCGCGTGGTCACAAAGAACAATTACGTGGAAATACCAATTACGTGGAGATCCGCTTTTCCGGCGGGAGCAGTCAATTGTTTGAACAGTCAAATAGTTATTTATGATTCGAGTGGTGAAAGTGGCATTTTATTTTACGAGTACGAAATGTTCGGGAAGAAGGTCGAAACTCTTTGAGTGGTGCAATCCTACAAGCAAAATAAAATCTCTTTTACCACGTGTGCCATACACTATTTTTGTAGACCCTTACTGGCATCATTTTATTTGAATTCAAGAGTAGAATTGGTTATGTTACATTATAGTCAGTAGTAGATGGTTCGATTCGAAAAAAGTATTCTATTTTCTTAGGGTTTTTTTGTTTGTTTGTTTTTCACTTTTTATCTGAATATCTGACCATTCACATCTTTAACCCAAGTGCTAAAATTTGACTTTTGGCAAGCTGTCCATGCCTTAAAAGTAACCGCTTTTACTAGGGATTGTATGAAAACAATTTACAACATCATTATTATAAATTAGGAACAAAATATTTTGAGTAAGTTTACTTTTGCATGCCCTCCTTCCACCCACCTTTCCCCACCCCCGCTTCTGCTGTTAGTTCTGACGTCGCTTATAGGCGATACACTTCAGAGGAGGCACATGAATGTTTGCGAAATCGGAATTGCTACCGTAGAATAGAGTAATGAAAGGGTTACCAAACTGTACTTTGACAAGTGACTAAAACTCAATAGAAATTATTCCTACATATCCGGGTGGCCGAGATCGCTGAGGCAGTAGTGCCGTGGCGATCTCGGGCCGAAGGATCGTGGGATCGAGTCCCACCGCGGGCATGGTTGTATTAGTGTTCGTCTCTTCATCATCACTATATCACTTCATTCAGTATACAGATACCCCTATCGTTAAATCAATAGCGGTCGCTTATGACTTCGTAGTTAATACAACCTTAAAAAAGAAAGTTTTCCTAACAGTGAATATCCTCGAAGGCAAACACTACAGAGATTTTGCAAGGTGGGAAATCCATTGTCGTAGTACATACACTTTATCATCACAAGAAAAATGAATTTTTGTATGTCGTTTAATCGAAAACATACGTTGAAACTAGGAGCTAATTGCAACTGAATATCTCTAACAGGATACGAAATAAAAGCTTTTATTGAACGTCTGTGTATCTCTGAGTCTTCTATGGATATTGCATGTTTCATTACTTCCATACCCATTGATAGTGTTGAACTTAGTGGTGGCGGCGAAAACTACGTTAAGTGTAAGTTCTGAACATGTGTCGTAGGCGAACAAACAGGTCAATCGACGTCAATCGTCGACCCTTCAAAGACGACCCGTCAATCGAAATCCCGCCATTTGATGCGCAGTAGAATTGTCCCCAGAACTGTCGTGTTACGTCTTTCAAATCAACGACATACAAAAGCTCTCTACTCTTCTCTTGCTCAAAACGGGACAGGTGCCTGAGCTATGCGTAGACGACTGGAAATTTCAAATTAATTACTTTTCAAAGATACTTTATAATAATCAACTTACAACTTATAAATGCTGATAAGATACCGTGATTGACGATTGATAAATTGTTTTGCTTCTTGCCATGATTCCCGATGGGGAGGGGAGACAGTCACGGAAGACTTCTCGAAGACCTCGTTCCGCCCCTCGCAGCCGTCGTTCCTCGATGCTCGGGTTAACGGTACGAATACACATCACCTCACGATGACCAATTAGATTTCAAATACGAGGCTTGTGTTAAATTTGAAAGAATGCACCTTGATATGTTATTTTATTTTAGTGAATTCGGTAAGTTATATTTGGTCCTAATAATTTAATGGGAGTCAAACATAAAATGAAAGCTCATCACTTACATTATACAAATACCATATAACAGGGCTATCAATGTTAATATTTAATTTATAGTACGATTGTCAAAAATCAAGAAGTTCTGCCTATGCAATTTTTATAGCGAGACGAAATCAAACGATTTCCTTACGTTTGAATAGAAATAAATTGTCATTATAAAATGTTTTTGTTACATGTTTCCATATGTCGCTCATGTTTTCATTTGTCACACATGTTTTCATACACACTTTCCATGTTACACATATTTATTCTCATTTCAAAAAACAATATTGAATAAAATATAGAATCCTTTCCGTTGTATAATTTTCTTCCATCTCCTCTTGCAGTCTGTTACAAATTTCGTCGCACAGCTATTACATGTTGCTCTGTTTGCGATGTCTTTCTTTTGTTATTGATCTGTACAAGGAAGTCTACCGTTTCCTTCTCTCTTCGCAGAAAAGTTTTTATGAGAAAATGTAAACTCTCTCAGCTCTCACTTTTCATTCCTGACAGTGCCGGAGCTAGACAATTTTGGGCTCGGGGCTGAAACGTACCCCTCTCCGCCGAAAAAATGAAGTGTGAATGACGTATCAAAAACTATGTGTTATTTTATTTTAACAAATAACAAAAATTACAACCTTTAAGCCAGAAAACGTTTTTGGAAAAAATTTTAAATAATTGTTGTAAATGTAAAACAATTTAGTGCTCAAATAATACAATTTCCACGGTGAGCTTAAAACGGTAAAATGTTTTGTTGTGTTCATCTAGTGTTTAATAAAATCACTTGTTAAAATGAAATAATAAATATGACTTCTTCTTCTTGAAGTGCCGTCTTTAGTACCGAAGGTTGGCGACCACTTCCCCAAACTTTTCTGTCTTGTGCCAGATAAAATAACTCAGATGAACTCGAAATACCGGTCCATTTGCGGATGTTTGCTGGCCAGGACATCATCTATCCCTGCCACTCCCATGATTTTTCAGTGCAACCTATTTAATGTTTTAGTTAATTGATTCATTTATATGGTTCTACTTTAAAAGTAATGGCTTAATTTTTGAGGTATCAATAATTCAAAATTTTCTGAAATATCAGACTACTGTATTGTGCCTTATAAAATTACAATAACGATTTTCTCGAGTTTTCCTTTTCAATTAATTTACTAATTTTTCCTACGATTCCCGACATCAGGCCCAGGGCAATCGGCCGGTCTGCCTAGCGCCGGCACTGATTCCTGTGATCCAAGAAAATGTTGATTTTGTGCATATTAGCATGATAACATTTCACCATTGTTCCATTGCTCTGGAAGTTAATGATAGTGAAAACTAAATTCTCTAATGAACACAAAACTCTAACCTCGTTGGAACACATGGTACCCTTTTGGAATCTATCCTAGGACTTCGTGAAGGGTGTTTTGCAAAATTGCAAATCAAAGTTCATTTGAACATCTCAATAAATAAACTCTACATTATATTTCAATTATCTTCTTTTTTTCAAATTAATTTCTCTTATAACTACCATAATAAGTCCTGGAACTCTTATCCAAAAAAGCCAATAATAAATTAATATAAATTAAATTATATCCATTCCTAGACGTCCTGTTCTGCATGTAATTAGAATGGCATTGTAATGACCGATTAAATTTTAATGCCATCATTCAAAAGGAACCTTGTGACACAATGATAATCAGCCTTGTTTTGTTTACATGTGCATTACGATATGCATGCAAACTCTCACAGGTTTCATAACGTTGACTTGGTAGAAAATACAGCGACCTATAGTCAGCGTGAATTGGAACTCGAGAGTCAAACTTTCTTAAACAAATGTCAAGAACAAGTTTAATCTTTCTTCGAGCAATTCAACCCTAGTCATATAAATGCAACTACAGAAAATCCAACTTAAAGAAAATGTGATGAAATGAAGTCTAACTACTGATTTGTTCTAGAGAAGACTAACAGCCAATTCGTAAAATTGATGGATGATCCTCCAATGAAAACAAATGTGCAATGACGGGATACCCACAAATCAAACGAAACGGTTCTGTGAAATACGCACGGGAATTTGTCAGGATGAGCAACCGCACCAACAAACAACACTTTTCCTGCGCGTTTTTCCCCGCAGGACGTTCGTTTCAAGCCCCGCCCGCCACTCGAACGCCGGCCGCGCCCAAACCCATCTTGGCCACGCGGAGAAGGAAATCGGCGGCTGAGGAAAGGCCTCGCCGCCCAGGCGCGTGGCAAGGACCCCGAAGCCCACGCCGCGTCGCAGCTGAACGGCCGGAAGCATCGCGGCAGAGGGTCTGGGACCATCCACGGGGACTGGGGCAGACGGAACGCATTGTGCAAGTAAACCAGCGTATGAACTGGGTCGCTGCGCGAGGGGCGAAGCCACGCGGAGGCGGCGGAGGTTGCCGGAAGGGGAGGGCAAACGACAACCGGATAATGCAAAGGGTGGGATACGGCGCAAAAGAATTGGTGGGAGGAAAATATGAAACAGTGGGGTTGATGCGGGGTAGAGGAGAGGAATTTGGCGGGAAAGAGCGCAAAAGAGGACGAAGTAAAGAATAAGGAATAAGAAGAAGAAAAGGAAAAAAGATTATGGAGAAAAATGAAAGAGAGGACGAAGAAGAAAAAGAGACGAAAGAAGGGAAAGAAAAGGAGAGACAGGGAGGGAAGAGAATAAGAGACAGGATGGGAAGAGAATAAGAGACAGAATGGGAAGAGAATAAGAGACAGGAGGGGAAGAGAATAAGAGACAGGAGGGGAAGAGAATAAGAGACAGGAGGGGAAGAGGTAAAGAGAAAAAGAAAGATGTGAAGAGAAAAAAGGAGAGAAAGAAAAAGATAAAGAGGGAAGGGACAAGAAAGAGGGAGGGAGAGAAAGAAGAAGAGAAATAGAAGGGAAAGGAAGAGGAACAGATGGGGAAAGAACAGGAGAGGGAATGAGAAGATTGGAGGCATAGCTGTAGCAAACCGCACGCCGCTGGCAGGACGGAACGTGTCCTACCTCAATTTCGCGTTCGACGTCGCAGCCCGCGTGCAGCGCTCCGGCTGACTCCGTGTTGTTGGGCGCCGACTGCGGTGCGCGAACTCACCAGCACGACCAGAGCACGACTGCCGATTGCAACGGTGGCGCGCGCAGCCGCCGCCGCCGCCTCCGCCGCCGCCGCCACCACCGCCATCGCTGCCGCGACGCACGTGGCCTGTCGACGTCAGTGCCCTGCCACAGTTCGGACGGCCCGGGGCGGCGCGGCGCGGCGGGAGCGTGGCTGCCAGGTTGGAAGGCACGCGTTCAAACCGAATTCTACTCGCACGGGAAATAAGCTACGGTATAGAATAAGTGGCGGTTCATGATAGTAGTTGGCGTTTGCAGTTACGACATGAAATTGACGTTGTTAAGGGGAACAAGCTCCTCAGCCCCGGTCTATATCCTATTAGCACATATGGCATGTGGTACGGGGCCCGCGCATTTTGGGACCCCGCGCTCTCTAAGGCAAAGCGATGAAAAATGTCTCACTAGTGACGAAAATAAAAAGTTTTGCCGTTATGAATTTTGTTAACTTTCTGTGTAAAAGGACTAAAACATAAGTTTACATACAATTATATTTAAGTTTAATTTTCAATCCTGACTAACGACATTGTTATAGTTTTAAAATGCAACTGTTTGAGATTTATTTGTGTGTACATGAGTAAAAGCAATTTGTGTTGTGTTCAAGAACATCGTTCACTGTCTGTTCCCAGATTGAAAGATACCGCCACTGAAAAAAAGACCTACAAGAAAAGTAAAAATCATAATACAGTCTAAAGAGTGAAAATGTATGAAATTGAAATATAATTTATATTAAACGTATCAAGTTTTCCACTGACAACAACAAATCCACTAATTTTAAGATTATTTACTTTTCTGTCTATGTTCTTTTTTCAAATTAGATAGACTGTATTTGTTCTTTTTTTTAAGACAGAATATTAAAATAAAATCACTGCTTTATATCAATACATGAATTACATGTGATACATAACAAGAGCAATGTTTCGGAAATTAATTATTTCTATCGTCAGGCTTCACGGCAAAAACAAATATTTAATATAATATTTTAAACAATTGACATGACATGGTCATATTTTAACAGAAGAATAACGTGAAGAACTAGAATGTGTAATGTAATGTGTAAAGTCACAATGGAACGCACCTTGTTAAAAAATCAAATCTATTTTAATATTCTATCGTTTAAAAAGATCCGTATTTGGATCTTTTTAAATCCAAATACGGTCCGGCTAATTTTAAAAAATGAAAAGAAACACGCAAATTCACAAAATTCAAATTTCGCGCTCACGTCGGGACGGGTTAATATTGGTCTAATGATATTAAATTTTATTTTTGAGCAAATTTGACCAAATGAAAATTATTTAGGGGATAAACTGAGAAATATTAACAAAAACATTGGTTTTTTTTGGCCCTAGGTCGTGAAGTGAATGCAAAGCCCAACAAATTATAACTTTTTAGACGAATTAGACGGTTTAGAACACAAGATTGAGAAAACTCATGATTTCCTTTCGTCTCAATTTTTATGAATAATTTCTTACGTAAAACACATAAATTTAAATGAATTTAAACTAAGAGCAAATTACGGCAAATAGCATGCCGCAAATTCAAATTTTGTCAGTTATAACTGTGAATGATTTTTTCTTCTAATAAAACGATAGGTACAAGTTGCAACGACTAATGTAGTACGTGCTATTAGGGTGTGTTCGCGGAGTGAGTATACCAAGGACGGCACGTCTCTAGATACGTGTACGTGCCCTGTCAGCAGAGGTGGATTAACAACTTTCTCGCCTGTAGGCACGCGAGAAATTGCCGTCTGTATTTTTCAAATAACCTAGGAAAAAGTTATATACATGTATGCGAGAATTCAGATTAGGGTAACTGGAATAAAAGTTGCATGACCACTCCTTTTCGGTAATGGTAATCGTCTCCTCTATTATTTGTCTATACCTTTTGCGACTCTCACGCGCAACCTATCTTTATATACAAGGTCTCTAAACAAATATAATTTCACGTACACGTGACAAATTGCACTTTGGGATTAAAAATATGGGGTATTTTTAAAAATGCATCTAAATATTCTTATAAAATGCAACCCGTAGCACTCACTCAAATGTTTCGTTAAATAACTTCCAAACAAAGCGTTCTAGAGCCGTAAAAACTAAGATGTTGAGGACAATGACCTTAAACAACCCTTCCTCACACCATAATCTAGAGATGAGATATACTTCAACACTATTAAATTTTTCCTAGTTCGGTACTTATTGATACTACCAATGCTGCCTATATTTCATGCCTTGGAGATGTTGACCATCTTTGTGACGACACGCTTAAAAGGCTTAGATTTTTCCATCTTATGCTGTGTACGCTTTCTGTGTATACTGTGGTTTGCGCAGACTGACGAGATTTATTTGCATAATTATTTATTAAATATTCGCTCTCACAGCAACAACCAGAAGTATTATTAATAGTTGTTTGATTCCGATGATGATTGTTTCTTATGGGTGTAGTAAAAACATTCATTTTAACTTTTTGCCGAGATCTACAAGTGCTGTGTACCTAATTGTGAAGGCATGTGGGTGTGCAGAGTGAAGTGTGAAGAGTGAAGACGTGTCTTATTCATTTTGGTTTAAGTTTTACCAGAACCAGTATTTTCACTATCAGTAGTGATTCTGTGAAACTTTCAAGTCAGCAAGTTCAGTCACGTAGCTTTTTCAAGAGTAAAAGGTTTTTTAATATTTTTGTGTATATTGAATAAGCGAAAAGTCAAAGAATAGAAAATTAAATACTTCAAATATTTTAAAGGAAGGGTTGTAATTTGTTCTAAGAAAATTTCTGGATAATACCGAATTTTTAATAACCTTTATTGAAAATTTCTTTTCAACATCAATTGCATTGTTGCTGATTTCAATTTCATACTTATGTAGTACATGAAGTAACCTTTATATATTTTTAAATAAATAAATACGTTTCGCTAACAACTTTTCCTCTTAGAATGGAAATAGAAAGTTAGGGAAAAGTGTGGGTTTACCAAGCGAGAGTTCTCGCACAGGTATGCGGAGGTAGTAGGGGAAAACTGTGCTATCGCACAAAACAAAAAACAAACGTTTTAAACTAACTAAAGTTATAGTAGCTTAGAATAAATAAACAACAAAAATCAAAACTCGCTAGCCTACAATCTACGAGAAATGAATTTAAAAGGCAACCAAAATTAAAATTATAGAAAGAATAGCGCATGTCACTCGACAACTATCATCGATCACAATCCAAATGCTACGATTTAAACTTTGGCGGTATCTGGAAGTCTGTACATCAATGCCCAGCTGTAAATCCATATTGTAAATAATAGACCGTAACTTAAGGTGTCGGTTCACAAAGATATTCAATACGTAAGAATAGTTTGAGCAACATTCCTATGTCCCGAAGTGGAGTCAAAGCTTACTAAATTGTTTCTAATGGAAACAAATGGTATTTATTACTCAAAGGTGAAAATATGAGTTTTATTATTTTTGTCTTGGAATTGCTTTTCTTGTGATATGTAAGAATGCAGAAAACAATCCAATACTTATTAGTATACAAATAATTTTTCAATTTTCGCACCCCAGCAAGCTGTCGCCGTGCCCCTCCCAAAACCCCCTCTGTTACTCATAACGAATCCAGGAATGTTAAATAATATTGCAAAGAGTAGGGTTGTACTTGCCCGATCCTTATTTTTTCACGGAAAACTTGACTTGGCTTTCTCAAGAGTAAAAATCCTTTTCTAATATTTTTGTGACTATCAAGGAAAGCCAAAAGCTAACTGTCAAGAAAGATTGAATAACAACTTCAAATGTTGTTTTTAAGGAAGTGTGAATTGTTCGAATAAAATATCTATAATACTGAATAAACCTTTATTGAAAATTTGTTTCAAACATCAATTGCATTGTTTTTATTTTTGTTTGATATTCTCTAATTACGAAGTTACATTTTTAACAAATAAACACGTTTCATTAACCACTTTCCTTCTTAATGGAAAGGATAGGGAAAGGGTGTTAACATGCGAGAGTTCTCGCACGGGTACGCTAGTTAAATCTTAACTGTATAAGAAAATGTAAACATCGCTCATTTTGATTTATCACAAGCCATACAGCAGAAGGTATTATCAGCCTGTTAATGAATTAATTTGCAGGTATTTAACCATTTTGTTCAAAAACTCATAGAATACAAATGAAAGAAGAAAAATCCCACACGACGGCAAAGAGGTACCTTTGACACAATTTTTGTCGCTCCTAAATTTTTGCAGCTTGCCTCCTGTGCTTATGCGTAAATCCGCCCTTGACTGACAGCATGAGTCGTAAGCAGTCGTTTGTTGGTTAGATGTCTACGTAACTCTTCTCTACAGGGGCTTAGCAATTTTCCTTCTGATTCAACATTCTTCATTCCGTTGGATTTATCCCACGAATTTTATTCTTGGTGAATCACGATTTTAGGCGGCTCTATATTTATAACTGAACCCTAACCTTTAAAATAAACTAAAATGCAAAATAGAAATATACAAAAAATTGAACAATGAACTAAAGATACGAGTATTTTATTAACTACCTTCTTATTTGCGCAAACATTCGTACACGAAATGTAACAAAACCCAACTGCAAAACTTCAGTAATGGATTCATCGTACTGAGAGAAAGAGAGAGTTCATTATAACTACAGGTTGCGGAAATTCGAAATTACGTTTTAGCATTACTATCAAATATTACAAGGAATGTTTCAAATGAACTGCTCACCTGCCTCGCAAGAGGACGGCTATGGATTCCTTAAAAATATATTTTGGTCTCGCAATTTGTAAATTGGATGTCATTCGAGATGACAAGCTTCTCAAAGAATTAACTATCCGTCAAACCATACATGTAATGAATGCACGCGAGCTCGTTTGCGTACACCATGCGGAAAACCGCAGAAAATAAACTTCTTATATGCCTTATCAAAGTAAATTGAAAACCACAAAAAGACAAACAAACGTATCTGATAACGCTTCGTCCTCAGAGTGCTAGTGAAAGGCTTTTCTGTCTAAATCCACATCAGTTTTATTCGCAATGTAATTTCTCGTC